ATTTGCGTCCCTTAATTAGAACATAAAGTTGGAAGTCTCTTTTGTGCTGGAAGGGCTTGATGATCCGAGTAGCTGCTGGAATCAGCGGTATTTTTTGGTAGTAGGAGAAGTATTTAAAATGCCTGGTAACTACTATCGAAACGGAAAGGTCGTGCCAGTTGCCGTTTTTCAAATAACTTTTTAACGAAAGGTCTTAGCGGCCTGCGGTTTTCACCATCGTATAGAGGACGATTTTTGACGCAATCTGCAAACAGTGAGCCCCGCAAGGTACACCACCAGCAGGTGGTAAGCCTCATCAACCTTGGAAAGAGTAGGTTGCCAAACCAAGCAAAAAAATTTCCCCGACGCAGGTTCGAACCACCAGACCTTCCTCTACAAGTCCGCGAAAGAACCAAATCGCTATCTCTCAGCGTTCGGGCAGGGCTCGGATTTCCTCCCGACCTGCCTGAGATCTTATTTTCTTGCAGAAAAAAATGTGAAAATGGTTGAAACATAGGTTATCGCATGCGCTGATTAACGTGGCAATGTTTTCAAGAAGTTTGGGAGTCATTTTGTAGCCGATATACAAAGTACCGTTCAAATATTACGCTGCCTTACGTGCAAATCCTCAAAACTAGCCTATCTCAGCAAGTTAAAGTCAAAATTATTATTATTATTATTTATTAAGAAGAAAATAAAAAACAAAAGACAAAGAAAAACTTGTTCATCAACACAAAAATAGAAAAAAGGTTAAAACCAGAAATTCGAGACACTGACAAATTTTATTCGTCGTCCGAACTGTCTGCTTCTATGAGAGTATCAACCACGTCATCGTCATCAATCGGGTCAGCCTCAAGTTCTTCTGCGATCTTATCGCCCGCTCTAAAAATCTCTTCGTGTTTCAACACGTGTTCGTAATAAGAACGGACATATTCAGGACCGACTGATGATAGCCATTCAAGACTTAACTGTTCAACGTCATTAAGACTGAACCGAATATTTTGTGAACGAACATAATTCTTTAGTCCAGTCCACACTAGCTCTATTGGATTCAAGACGCAATGTTTCACAGGAATTCGTACAATTTCAATCCCAAATCTTTCAGCCGCCTTATCCGCCATATATTCTTTCGGTGGTAAATTCTTATAAGCAATGTCTAACAACTCGGCTTTTGTCCTGTATGAATCAAATTTTAATTTCTTCAAATTTAACCAGTCAGTCACCATCTGTTTTCTCCAAGCTCTTTTCGGAGCCTCACTTTCCGGTGTCAGTTTATTATGCCAAGTGGCATTATCCACACAGATTACTATCTTGGCATTTGGACCGTGTTCTGCTCGGAAGGTACTTGCAGCACTATGCATCCATGCGGGAAAATGTCCGCTGTCCATTGAGTGTACTTCGTCACACTTGAAAATATCTAAGGTGCGTAAATCAATCCCGTTCACACCAAGTAAACCACTGATGGCTAATCGATGTCCCTTTCCTTCACTGTTCCTCAATCGATCGTAACCCTCTTCGTCGAACCAAACAGTCGTCTTCTCTTCGTTTTTATTCGCCCACGTTTCGTCGTGAAAGTAGATGACGGCGTTAGAAGCTCGTAGTTCATCCATTTTACGAAAATACTTAGCTCGTTGAGCTTGAAATGGAGTAGAATCGAGTAGTACAGGAGCTTTTCGTGTCTGTCCATATTTGAAGCCTAGACGTTTCATTTCTTCACGTAATCTTGTTATTTTTTTTTAATTGGAAAATCTGGATCTTGTGCTAGCAGTGTTAATAAGATATTCTTCAGTGTTGGATACACTTTGTCTTTCAGCAACAGATGAAATGTGAGCCGAATCGTATCTCTTTGCATTTCAGTAAGGAAAATCTTTTGCCGGTGAAATCGACCTCTTAACGGTGACAATGCTCGAGGTATTGAGGGCGTAGAAGAAGCAGATGACGTACGGCGTAGAGCATGTTGAGTATTCAGTTCTTCTTGTTGAGCAGTTTTGGTCTCGTTCATTTCTGCCTTTAAGTTACGAATTGACCTCTCCGAAATTCCCAAAAGTGCCTGCAGACGACCAGTCACATTATTCAAATTAATTGTTAGACCAGTTTTTTCTTTTTCAACGAAATCAATTATTCGAAAAGCCAGTTGTTTGAAAT